CTTTGATTTGAGGTGCTGTAAGTGGGATTTATTTTGCTTCGCAATGCGCATGCGCATTACAAAGTTATTAACAATATTATCAACAAAAAACGCGATTTTTTTATATTTTCTGAAATATCTCGAAAACTAAGCAAGATAGGGTAACTAACTATAGGTACCTTTTTTGTAGAGCGTAAAATTATCTACAATAATGATCTGAACAACATTTATCGTCAAGTCAGTCGTTTAGCTTGCACGCACTGTCAAAGTCTGAGACTCGGATCCCGAAAACCCTCGATTTCATCGTTTTTTTGATGTTGCGTCGGTGATTTTTTCCGTCATTTAAAATGGAATTAAAAATTCCCAAAAAAATCACACATTATATCTAAGAACTACAAAGAATACTTTTCAGAGTGTAACCGATTTTTTAGACCCTTTTTCTTTAGTTTGTAGCTACCCTGCATAAAACGTCTTATTCAAAAATATTGTTTCGCATTCACGAGATTTTGTCATGAATTCTGCTTTGCAACAATTTCGGATTGGATCACGGGTCAATACTTTTCAGTGCGATACTGGGAATAGAACGTGAAAATCTTGTATGCCTCTGAATCCAAAAACAATTAGCAGAAGAAGTGAATCCTTTTTAATGCGAGAATTTGCAATTGTTTGAAGGTTATCGCAATTGCGATTGAATGTGAGGAATATTTTAAGCTAAGTGAATTCTTTTTAATGCGTAAGCTCGTACTTATTTGTTAAAATTTTGCGTTTTAACACCGCAGCCAGGCGCGTGGTGGGGATAGCGCATACAAGGAAAGAGCCGTGCACACTGTACATGCGCACACGTACACGGCTTTTTCCTTGTGTGCGCTACCCCCATCACACGCCTAGCAGCAGTAGCAGCAGTGCTGAAACGCAAGATCGGCTGGATCGGCATGCTTCGTGCTCGTGCTATGTATTCATTATCCCGTCCAATCCCGGATAAGGTCCCAACCATTATTTATTAGGGATGCCATAAGAAAGGTTTTCTTATTTTTGTCTATTGAGGCTCTTGTAAGGATTTGATAAGAATGTTTTAACTTTATAAATATACTTTTTTCATAAATATATTTACGAACACAAAATTTCATAATGAGCCGGCACTGGTTTCTGACATTCACCCGACATTAAGAAATATTATATCATATATCCAATTCAAAATTTTATTACTCTTTTTAAACTAAATTTGTTTCTTAAGATAACTTTTGAAAAATTATATATTTGCGCTGGTTATGACATATGTAGACTATATATAACACTTACATCAAATTAAGAAGTAGTCTACCACGTAAGGCAGTTGGCTAATGATCCAGAGGTCCCGAGTTCGAATCCCACCAAAGTGTGTTTTTTTCAAATACGAGAAAATATTTATAATCATAAACTTCATCTTAAGAAACAAATTTAGTTATAAAATAGTAATAAAATTTCAAAAAAAATAATTTTTTTTATGCCGGGTGAATATAAATGACAAAATATTTTTTTGGAGTGAATTTAATGCGACCCAATACTTTTGAATGCTAAGCATCAACCACTGCTGTCTCACATTCAGCGCGGTAAAGTTTTATGCGAACCAATACTTTTCAATTCCTTTCTTCGCATCAGAAAGCAGAATTTAAATTAATTCTTTTCAATCCGACATTTTATGCAGGGTATGTAAGAAAAAAATTTTGATTTTTTGGAATAGTTTTAGTTTTTCGTTGTTTTTAGGCCTTAGAATTTATTTGAGACAAATTTTATCGTATGCATCTTGTTGTGGACGAAATTTGCAACAAAAAAGGACCCTTGTATTTTTTTCGTACGACGAACACTGATTTTTTTATTGACGCGCAAAGTTATCCAATATTGCGCACAGGTCGGATAACGCTTGTTTTACACTAAAATAATTATTTTTTATTAAAATTTACGTAATTTTTCGCATTATTATTGAACCATATTGCAAAGCCGTTTTTAACACATTCTCTCATTTTTACTTATTTATTAACAAATTGTTTATTTAAAAATTATTATAAACAATTAGAAAAATATGTTATATTCGTTATACTCGTCGTCTCATTTCAACTCGAAAAATGTTTTTAAAAAATGTATTTATATTATTTATAACATTTATTCAAATATATAGTGCATCTTTTGACTATTTTTCACACCATCTCTAAGTCAATGGTGCGTTTTTTTTCTGTGGTTTCCCCAGTAAGCCTAATATGTTCTTTTGTTGTGATAATTATTTGGATATTCCTTGGATACTATAACTATCCAACACGCAGATGTTGATGAAAATTAACATCCGCGTCTTGAATAATTATTTCAATCCTCAGTATCCATAGAAAGGCCATATATATCTTCAATGCTTGTGGATTAAGCCTACTGGGAAAACCACAAAAAAACGCACCTTGGCTCAGAGATAGTGTGAAAAATAGTCAAAAGATGCACATGTTTGAATAAATGTTATAAATAATATGAATAAATTTTTTAAAAACATTTTTCGAGTTGAAATGAGACGACGAGTACAACGAATATAACATGTTTTTCTAATTGTTTATAATAATTTTTAAATAAACAATTTGTTAATAAATAAGTAAAAATGAGAGAATGTGTTGAAAACGGCTTTGCAATATGGTTCAATAATAATGCGAAAAATTACGTAAATTTTAATAAAAAATAATTATTTTAGTGTAAAACAAGCGTTATCCGACCTGTGCGCAATGTTGGATAACTTTGCGCGTCAATAAAAAAATCAGTGTTCGTCGTACGAAAAAAATACAAGGGTCCTTTTTTGTTGCAAATTTCGTCCACAAGATGCATACGATAAAATTTGTCTCAAATAAATTCTAAGGCCTGAAAACAGTGAAAAACTATTCCAAAAAATCAAAATTTTTTGCTTACATAGCTACAAACTAAAAAAAATGGGTCTAAAAAATCGGTTACACCCTGAAAAGTATTCTTTGTAGTTCTCAGATAATGTGTGATTTTTTGAGAATTTTTAATTCCATTTTAAATGACGGAAAAAAATCACCGACGCAACATAAAAAAAACGATGAAATCGAGGGTTTTCGGGATCCGAGTCTCGGACTTTGACGGTGCGTGCAAGCTAAACGACTGACTTGACGATAAATGTTGTTCAGATCATTATTGTAGACAATTTTACGCTCTACAGAAAAGATACGTATAGTTAGTTACCCTATTGCTTCCTCATAGAGGAAGCTTTGTTTTCGTAAATTCGTATATTAACTTTTGATTGCGTATAATCTTGGGTTTAATCAACCAAATTTAAATTAATTATATATGAAATAGGGGTAGAAAAAACTAAAGAAAAGATTGGTTTTATAGTTTTTGACGTTAATATCTTCAGATTGTTGTAAAACGTCAAAATATTGCCCAAAAAAAAATGTCTGTATGTATGTATGTATGTGCACAATTTACTAAAAAATCCATAACTTCAAAACTAATCAACCGAATTTAAATTTTAAATATATGAAATAGGGGTAGAAAAGACTGAGTAATTTAATAGAATTATTAAAAATAGTTAATATTACAGGGGTTACCCATTTCTTTTAAAAAAATGTTTTGGCACGTACATTTTTTTAAAAGAAATCGGTAACCCCCTTAATATTAACAATTTTTAATAATTCTATTAAATTACTCAGTCTTTTCTACCCCTATTTCATATATTTAAAATTTAAATTCGGTTGATTAGTTTTGAAGTTATGGATTTTTTAGTAAATTGTGCACATACATACATACAGACATTTTTTTCCCCTTAGAAAGAGATGGGTAAATTATTAAAAATAGTTAATATTACAGGGGTTACCCATTTCTTTTAAAAAAATGTTTTGGCACATACATTTTTTTATGAATAGTTCAAGAATGTATAAAAAACCTTCGCACACAAAGCTTCCTCTATGAGGAAGCCAAAACAAATAAATACTGAAAATTATACATTGAAAAAAATAAATGCTTCCTATGTAATAATTATGTACCCACACTTAAGAACTCTAAGGAAGCAATGTCCAAGTTTCAACTTGCACACTTAATAACTCTAAGTAAGCAATGTACAAGTTTCAACTTGCACACTTAAGAACTCTAAGAAAGCAATGTGCAAGTTTCTACTTGCACACTTAAGAACTCTAAGGAAGCAATGTGCAAGTTTCAACTTGCACACTTAATAACTATGAGG